TGGGTCTGGTGGCAGGCGGGGGTGGGGGCTGGGAGGGGCATGGGGGGTGCCGGGGGTATCTGGGAGTTGAGGGAGGGAGGAGCTGAGCTGGGGGGATCGGGCAAGGGGACTCTGTGGAGTCAGGGTTCAGGGCACCCACTGATCTCTCCGCCCGACACCAGGACGCCGTGCTAAACCTTGTAGACCCCGGAGCGCTGCGGGCTGAGCTGGACATCCCCCTGCCCGACCCCGAACGGGACGCCCAGCGCCAGGTGAGGGCTGGGGGGAGCTGGGGAGGTGTGCGTTGCCCAGCACACGGGGATATCTGGGGTGGGGGGTCCAGGCTGTGGGGGGGCTGCAGGGAGAACCCAAGGGTCTGAGAGGGTCTCAGATATCCCCCATCCGGTCTCTTTCCCCACCCCCCACAGAAGGAGAAGAAGGAGAAGGAGAAGGAGAAGGGGGATGACAAGAAGGACGATGATGACAAAGGTGGGGCTGTGGGGGGCCATCGGGGGGATGGGGGATATGGAAAATGTGAAGGGGTCATGGGGGGTTGGAAGGCTGTGGGGGGCTGGGGGTAGGAATTGTGTGGGTCGGAAGGGGCTGGTGGTTGTTTGGGGGGGTGGGTGGGGCACTGGTGGGGCCTTGGGGGTCTCAGGGTAGCGTTGGAGGGGCTGAGAGGCCACAGAGCAGGTATGACCCCAGTGCCGGCAGGGCCTCCGTGCGGCCCAGTGAGCAGCAACGCCGTGGTGCTGGGCCTGGTGCAGCGCGTCACCCCCCGGTTGCAGCGTGCCAAGGAGGAGCTGGGGCTGGTGAGTGACACGGCAGCAATGCAACCCCCTGCACCGCATAACTGCAACCTGCACCGCCACTGCTGTGCCTGGGGTGGGGGGCTGGGGCTGGACATGCCGCTCCACCACCACGAGACCACACAGCCATACGCCATTATCGTATGGCTGTGCGCACGTCACACCACACTGCCACCACACTACGCACTGCCACTAAAGACCACCGCAACTATGTCACCACATGGCTGAACACCACTACACAATCATGCAACACAACTGCACACTGCTACACAACCATACAGCTATGCACCCCAGGGCAGGGTGCCAGGGAAGAGCTGGGAGTGGTAGGTCACACTGTACAGTTATGCGACCACACAATACTGCACTGCTATGCTACACCACTACGCAGCCATGCACCACTGCACACCATGACCTCACACTGCTGCACAACACCATAGCCATATGCCATGCTGTCATGCAGCACTCTAGGGAGGAGCTGGGGCTGATGAGTGGTGCACAACACAGCAGCCACACAACACTGTACACCACAACACAGCTGCACACTGCACACCATTCCACAACTGGAGGCTGTTACACAACTTTACACACTGCTACAGAACCACACAATGGTACACGCCACTACACAACTGCACACTGCTCTGCAACAAGACAATACCATGCACCACTACATGCTTGCACACTTATATACAGCTGCACACTGCTACCCACCACAACCATGAGCTGCTACACAATACCACAAGTGCACCACTACTGCAGCACACTGGGGGGAGCTAGGACTGGTGAGTGACTCACAACACCACTAAAAACCACCACCACCACACTGCTAAACACTACTAGACAGTCACACAACACAGCTGCACACTGCTACACAACCACACAGCTATGCACCTCTACGTTGCTA